TTAAAGCTTTTTTTAAATGCTCAACTCCAAGCTTTCTTTCCCTCATTGAAGGTAATCAGTATCAGTAACGAGGTAATCGAATTTGTGAATGACTGGCATGGCTCAGTCCTCCTAGAGGTAATTATGTTAAAAGAGGAAGCTTTTTGTTTAGGACATGTATAAGTCAGAGAATACTTCAAAGTTTTCATTAACACTATTTGAATCAAGTTTAAATTAGTGAAATTGAATCGTGGTATAACTTCTACTCTATTTCCACAATAAAGTTCTTTACATAACTTTATACAACTTTATTGCTTCAAAATATATAGTTCTGTTACATGAATAGGCTCACACAATGTGGATAAGTAGGTGAATGTTGTCTATATGTATAATGCAGAAGCTGCACTAACTTCATTATATACATTTCCCCAGCAAGTGTACACCATAGAGCAACAGTTATTAAATGTAGAACGTGCTGGCAGTTGAATGCAGCCATCCATCCATTATAGTCCAGAAGAGGTGTACCCATCCTCTTTTTGGCTATGTGCTTTGTCTTAAAGGTGCTTATTGAGTGGTTATTGCCAGTTCTTGTGTACTGTTTCTGCTCAAGTTTATGTAATTTTGCAGTTCCTTATACTTTTTCAATATGTTAGTAGCCCCCACTTTCCCTCTTTTTTTCCTGCAACATTGTGTGTTTACTGTAGTGTTTTTGTACTAAAAATTATAAATGTAGGGCCAGCCTAGTGGTGCAGCGGTTAAGTTCGTACATTCTGTTTCGGCAGCCCAGGGTTCACAGGTTTGGATCCTGGGTGTGGACCTACACCCTGCTTGTCAAGCCATGCTGTGGCAGGCATCCCACATATAAAGTAGAGGAAGATGGGCACGGTTGTTAGCTCAGGGCCAGTCTTCCTCAGCAAAAAGAGGAGGATTGGCAATAGATGTTAGCTCAGGGCTAATCTTCCTCAAAAAAAAAAAAAAAATATATATCTATAAATGTAAATGTATTAACTGCACTAGTACTTTTATTTTGATTGTTAATTATATTTGTTAGTTCTAGTTACAAAGTTCCATGGATATTGAATAGTCTGCCTCAGACTATTTTTGCCTAAGAGTTTTTTCATGTGTAAAAGTTTTTAGATTAAGAATATTTTCAGGAACACACATATCACAAAATACACAGTTATATATCATACATAAATGTCTCTTCATTTAATGTTTTCTCAGTAGAACACCTCTTTTTATTGATGAATAAAACTTTATGAGTATTTATATCTCGAGTTATGTTTTTTAATTTATGTGCGAAAAACTCAGTTCAACATTTTAAAACACTGGAAAAATTATTGGTCTATTTTATTTAAAATTAGTAGAATGTCTGAATCATTTGAAGATGTTCTGAAGAGCATGACATGTCACCAAAGGGTGTGTGTATCTATAATGTGTCTCTAAGGCCACATTACTGCATGCAGAGCAACTCTTTGTTACCAACTTCATGATTTGATGTTTAGGAAACCAAGTGTTTTACATCCTAACAGGATAGCTATTTATAATAGTTATTTACTATGTTTTGGTTAGATTTTAGGGAATTAAATAGGAGTTTTGCCATGTCTTGTAAGAAAGTATTATCATTTTTTCCAATTAACATAATGGGAAATAAGCTTCCAGTTAGCAGTTTCACACTTTTTAGGAAGTGATTCTGATGTTAACAGAAGATAACTATATATCCTTAATAGACAACCTGAGGATTAGTTCTTAAAGAATTAAGTCCCATGAAAGAAACTCTGTAGGTGCTGACAGTCTGGTAGTAGGGTTCAAAGATCAGATTTGTGGTGTGATGAAATTTGGTATTTTGTGGTTCAACTTTTGGAGGCTATTCATTCAATGATCACTTGCATATTATATTGTGTTTTACTGTGAAGCAAATAAAGTAGAGATAGGAATTGTACTAAGAAATTTTGTATGTTGTACAGTACGTGTGTAAAGGTCCATTTGTCACAATGAAGATAGGATTATCTACATGACTCTAAAATTATCCTCTGCTTAAGTATTTGATGACAAGTCTGTCACTCTCTTGATGAAAGGGATAGATTAAGCCTTTTGTCAGTATTATATTGTTTGACCAATATAATTCCACAAAGTTAATAGATATATATCATTTGTTCTCTTTTCTGTAAAATAGCTGAATAATTTACTCAAAATGACAAAAACTCTTTATTTGAGGTGTTCCATTTTTATTTCTTTCACAATTCGATACTGTTTTTACTGGCCTGTATAGCAGTACCTTAGAAAAATGGTCTTGAAATAATAGTAAACACTGTTTTTGGTTCTTTTTTGAGGGAGATTAGCCCTGAGCTAACATCCGCTGCCAATCCTCCTCTTTTTGCTGAGGAAGATTGGCCCTGGGCTAACATCTGTGCCCATCTTCCTCTCTTTTATATGTGGTATGCCCGCTGCAGCTTGGCTTGATAAGCGGTGCTCAGGTCTGCACCCAGGATCCGAACCAATGGACCCCGGGCTGTCGAAGCGAAGTACATGAACTTAACTGCTATGCCACCGAACTGGCCCCAGTGAACACTATTTTTTTAAAGTTTGAAGGACTGTTTTATAATTTGTAGAGACATGTATAGGAATTGGAAAGTTTGAAGGTGATATTATTTAGCTTATTTTATATATCAACTAATAAAAACTGTGATTTTTTTTTTTACTACTCAAAATATGAGTTAGTCTGTTTGCCCTCATTTATCAGGAAAACAAACCCTCAGAAGTCCACCAGTAGACTTCCACTTAGGTCATGGGCAGACTTGTGTCACATGCCATCCCCCAGGTACAAGAGAGAATTGGAATACTAGTGTGTGGTTTTTATAGTTTCTCTTATAATGAAATGTCAGGGAAAAGGGAGTGACTAGATTTGGAGTTAGCCAGCCTACAGCGTCTGCCCAGGTATGTTAGAGAGTTGGAGGAAAGACAGTAGTTTCAGAAGATCACATTTCAGATACAGATACAGATACACTTTATTTGGAGTTCAATGTAATCTCAATAGAAAGTTTAAGTTCACGTATGCATGTAAACTAAGACTCTCTTGGGGTACTGTACAGCATTGAACAAGACCTCTTTCTTTCAGTTGAGAATGAGGTCCTATGGTCCATCATTAGAGGTTTCATATCCTTTTAGTAATTGAGTAGTCTTACCTGTCAACAAATCCTCGAGTGTTTTCCAAAATGCCAGACAAATAAGATGGTCATTAGGGATGGCAGAAAACATACATACACACACAAATAACATAGAGCTTTCAAGTTTTTGAATTATCTCCGCCCAGAGCGTTCATTCTTCCCTATATTAGCTATTAAAACAGCTAATATAGTTGATTTGTAAAGTGAAATTTGATTATCTTTTGTTTAAAGGATATTTTCACTTTTTTCTTTTATTAATGAAGTTTGACTATAAGATTGGAATATTTTTATTTCTGTTTTCATGTGAAGTACAATCATTTATGCTATTGTTTGACTTAAAAAATTTATTTTATCCCCAGTTATCTGATATTCATGCAAGTCATAAAAGAAAAAATAGTGTTATCTACGTATATTTCTCAGCTTTGGTAGGGTGAAATTTTGTGATGATGTAGGCTTATCTCAGATAACAAATGAGAGAATGTAGGGTGGTTTTTTTTTTTTTATGATAATCTTGAGAGTGAGTGCATTATAGCTAAGCTAATTTTAATTTAAAAATTGTTAGTTTTTTTCTTTCTTTTTTTTTAAATTGAAACTCATGGTAAGTACCAGGGAGTTTTATGACTTAAGGTGTTAAATCTACAAGTTGTCAATTGTATGATGATCCCAGGCATTGGGATTTACTACTCTTTGAGATGGGATGATTTGCATTGTTTTACTTCAATCACTGTACTCAGTGCTTTCTATGAAAAAGTCAGATGTTATGAAAAGTCAAACTGCATGAAATAAATTAACATTTGCAATTTGGAGTTTTAGAAAACAGCATGTTAAACTTCATTTTTTGTGTGTGTGCTTGTATTTTCTTCTCTAGTAAGACAAGTATAAGAGAGAGAACACAGGGACTTTCTCTAACGTATTTCATCCACTGGCTCTCCCCTTTAATACTCATGCGTTTTATAACCTCCAAACTTAGTCTTCATTTCTCTCAAGAGTGTATGTATAGATTTAAATTTTGTTGGTGAAGAGAATGAGAGCCAGAGGTTTGTCTGAAAAAGAATAATGGCAAATATAAAAACAATCTACTGGCAAAAAGTGATAATGGAGGTCTAAGCTACTATATTTAGAGACAGATATGAGAGGGAAGTAAGATGTGTCCCTGCAAACTGCTAAAAATTCTTTCAACCCTGCAGTGGTTCATGGCTCCAGAGAATTTTATCTCAAAAACTCTTGAAGTATTTTCTTCTCTGTTTCTTCTGTGATTTCATTAGAATTTCAACTTGTTAACATTAGTACCTCTGAAAATATGTAATAAGTTGGTATTCAGTATAGGCTTTCATTAACTCCTATCATTTTGCCTTTTATGGTATTATTTCTTTATGTGGAAGAATGGATATAACAGAAAAAAGTAGTAAAACTCCCTTGGACTTAAATACTACAAGCTGTAAAAACAAAGATAGTATTTCAGCTTATGTTACTTATAAAATTTATATTAAAAGTACCAGGAAGGATTAAGCATAACTTAGAGGGATGGTCATTAGTGGTATTTTAAAGACTCTGAAGGTAAGATGAGGAAAGGTGAAATGCTTCTATACTAGTGAGGATTAGCTAGACTACAATATTAAGTAGCCCCCACAAAGAGCACCAGCTTAAAAAACAGTGGAAATTTAGCTCACCTAACAGCCATGATATTCTAGGTTGGCAGAGACTTCTGCTTCGTGCAGTCATTCAGAGATGCAGCTGTTGTGGCACTGTTATGCTCAACATGTAGCTTTCAGAGCCATCCTGGGAGCATCGTCCCATTAGGCAGGAGGAGAATAGCCTTTGCCTGAAAGTAGCACTTATCTCAAAAAGCTGGGAGATGTGGTTCAACTTTGCCTAGGAAGCAGAGGAAATAATTTTTGGTGACTGCGTAGTAGTCTGTTTCACCTGTCTGCTCATAAGTTGCCTTCTTCCTACTCTATTTATTGCTCCATGACTATTTCCTGTCGCTCTGTAAGGTTTATTCCAACCTGGTTCCTGCCTGCAAATGGCCATGTAATTTAAATTTAATATGTAGTGTATTACTGTATCGACTAGTATACAATATATTACCATATATTACTGTATATAATATAAATATACATTAAATTTACTGTACTTGGTTTTATTATACCGCATTCAAAAGTAGGACAAGAGCTGTTTCCAAACAGGATGCTGAAGAAAATCTTTAAACCTGCCTTCTCAGTCTTTTGAGTGCAGAGTACAGTCATGCACCACATAACTAACATTTCAGTTGACAAAGGATCACATATATGACAGTGGTCCCGTGAGATCAGTACTGAATAGCCTAGGTGTATAGTAGGCTATACCATGTAGGTTTGTGTAAGTACACTCTGTGATGTTCACACAACAATGAAATAGCCTAATAATGCATTTCTCAGAACTTGTCTCTGTTATTAAATGACACATGACTGTAGTGAAATAAGGAAGAAACTTCTCAGAAGAATAACCGTGTTTCTGCTCTTAGGACGAGATTGTAAGAGGTGTATTGTGATGAATCAGCACATGATATCTTGGTTCATATTTACAGTTAAAGCTGCAAGTTAATATATTCCATGATTTTGAAAAGTGTTTGAGTAAACAGTAATAAAAGCTATATATTATTGAAAGAATGGATGAGGTTGTTGCTGATAGTAGTTCATTGGAAAAAATAGGTAAACATATTTTGTTTATTGAATCAAGTATTAGATACTTTTTAAAAGTTGTAAATCATAAAGGATATTGAGTGCAAAATGGCTGTTTTACTTTTCATTAAAACTTACTAAAACAAAGTAAACATACATATATTATGAAAATAAATATTCTTTTTTTCTCTAATTTTCTAGATGTGACTTATCTAACAGAAGAGACAGTATATGAAATTCTTGAATTATGTAGAGAGAGAGAGGATTATTCTCCTTTGATCCGTGTTATTGGAAGAGTTTTTTCTAGTGCTGAGGCATTGGTACAGAGCTTTCGGAAAGTCAAACAGCACACCAAGGAAGAACTGAAATCTCTTCAAGGAAAGGATGAAGACAAAGATGAAGATGAAAAGGAAAAAGCTGCATGTTCTGCTGCTGCTATGGAAGAAGATTCAGAAGCATCTTCCTCAAGGATAAGTGATAGCTCACAAGGAGATAACAACTTACAAAAATTAGGCCCTGATGATGTGTCTGTGGATATTGAGGCCATTAGAAGGGTCTATACCAGATTGCTCTCTAATGAGAAAATAGAAACTGCCTTTCTCAATGCACTTGTATATTTATCACCTAACGTGGAATGTGACTTGACATATCACAATGTATACTCCCGAGATCCTAATTATCTGAATTTATTCATTATTGTAATGGAGAATAGAAATCTCCACAGTCCTGAATATCTGGAAATGGCTTTGCCATTATTTTGCAAAGCAATGAGTAAGCTACCCCTTGCAGCCCAAGGAAAACTGGTTAGACTGTGGTCTAAATACAGTGCAGACCAGATTCGGCGAATGATGGAAACGTTTCAGCAGCTTATTACTTACAAGGTCATAAGCAATGAATTTAACAGTCGAAATTTAGTGAATGATGATGATGCCATTGTTGCTGCTTCAAAGTGCTTGAAAATGGTTTACTATGCAAATGTAGTGGGAGGGGAAGTGGACACAAATCATAATGAAGAAGATGATGAAGAGCCCATCCCTGAGTCCAGTGAATTGACACTTCAGGAGCTATTGGGAGAGGAAAGAAGAAATAAGAAAGGTCCTCGAGTGGACCCACTGGAAACTGAACTTGGTGTTAAAACTCTGGATTGTCGAAAACCACTTATCCCTTTTGAAGAGTTTATTAATGAACCACTGAATGAAGTTCTAGAAATGGATAAAGATTATACGTTTTTCAAAGTAGAAACAGAGAACAAATTCTCTTTTATGACATGTCCCTTTATATTGAATGCTGTCACAAAGAATTTGGGATTATATTATGACAATAGAATTCGCATGTACAGTGAACGAAGAATCACTGTTCTCTACAGCTTAGTTCAAGGACAGCAGTTGAATCCGTATTTGAGACTCAAAGTCAGACGTGACCATATCATAGATGATGCACTTGTCCGGGTAAGTTGGGCTACTGTTTAAAAATTAGTACTAGATCAAATACCTAATGATGGGGAGATTGTGGTACAGTTCAGTGAATTCATTTTATAAGTGACTCTGAAAAAAAAAATATATGGTATATAGCATAGGAACACATGGACTTTTTTTTATTGTAAATATAAGTATTATACTTTTCTTGTTCCTTTCCAGGTTTGTAATGTGTTCCACAGAGTACTGGTTGTCTTGTATAATGATCACTCTCTTTGAAAAAGAAAAAATTTTCCACTCTCTTTTCAACTAACCCCAAAACCTTTTCCATTCAGAAGAGAAGTGGACGTTAGGAAAAGACCAGAGCACAGGAACAAGGGGAAGATGGAAATGCCTAATAATAAAATGTCAAGTCTTAAATGGGAGAAATGGTACAATAAAAGCATACCATAAAATAAGTGGTGTCCAAAAATTCCATCATGTAAAATTTAGAGTTGCATCATTGTGAAGTCGATGAAGTGACCTGGGGAGGTTGGTGCATGCTGCTAGTAGGAGTTCCTTCCAGGTCACTCAAAATGTTCCTGTATGACACTGCCTGATTGTGGTAGTTTGTTTCTGCTTAAATACCCATATAGACTACTCTGGGTCTTAGTTGATTGGAATTTTAGGGAAAACAGCAACTATTCCAGGAATCTTGTAGGAGTTAATCTTCCAGGATTAATGGTACCTGTTTCATCAACCCAGTCCAGGGAGATTGAGCTGGGAGGATACTGGGAACAGAAACCCGCCTTCTAACTTCCTGTTTCTCCAGATAGCTTGCCTTGTGTTCATTCCTTCCCTCCAAGGAAATAAGAATTTTAGTGCTCCCATTCAAGAATGCAGGCCTGGCTAGAAGACAGAAAGCAATTGCTGATCACTTTGTACCAAAATTTTCGTTTGTCAGAGGGTGCTTTATGACAGAGTTTTATTGTATTCATACTGTTAGATATCCCCGTCATTGCTGGTTTCTTTTCATCAACTTCAAGTAAAATTTATTATCAACTAAAATTAAGATATGGTCAACTTTCTGTACTAACAAAGGATAAGATCCCATGACACAGACTATTAGGAAATAGTGATATTTATTTTAAAATATGTTTTAGTTTTAGAATGATTTGTCTGTGTCTGAGAATTCATAAAACTACACCAGTGGAAAAAGTTGCTTGACATCTCGGAAATTTAAAAGTTGCAAAGGTTCTGTGCCTCTTTTCTTTGTTACTGGTTTTTAAAATTACCAAATATGTTTATTCTGTTGAAGAAAGGTTCTGCATTATTTAAGCAACTCAGGCAGTTTTTCAACAGACAGAAATGGGTATTAACTGCTTGGAGTAATCATTGCTTGCTTTCTGGTGCCCTTTTATTTTGCTTACATAGTTTTGAGCTACATGAATAATTAATATACTTAATAACTTATCATCAGGCAGCCAGCAACTTATTTTACATAGTTTAACAGAATGGTAAAGTATCAGATAAGGATGTGAGTGAAGTTTTATGGAATGCACATTGAGGTCTATCTATGATTTTCTATTGTTAGAGCAGAGCTACAAATCCCAAAACTTACACATTTTATGTTTGGCTTCTTGGGTTGGGATCCTTTCGTTTGCTTCCAGCAAAAGCTATGACTAGCCTTTAAAAGCAATGAAATTACTCTCTGTAAAATTCAATCCGGCGTTGAGGAAAATAAAAAAGTCCGCCTTCCGTATCTGCCTTCTGCTCAGAAATCTGCCTAGCTTTATTTCCCACCCCTCCCATCCCACCATAAAGCAAGGTTAAGAACCAAGAAAAATTTAGGTACTTGTTGTATACTTTATTTATTTATTTATTTGGTGAGAAAGATTTGCCTTAGGCTAACATCCCTTGCTAATCTTCCTGTTTTTATTTTTTGCTTGAGGAAGATTAGCCCTGAGCTAACATATGTGCCAGTTTTCCTCTATTGTGTTTGTGGGATGCCTGCACAGCATGGCTGATGAGTGGAGTAGGTCTGCACCCTGGATCCAAACTCGTGAACCTGGGCTGCTGAAGCGGAGCATGCGGGACGTTAACCACTCAGCCTCGAGACTGACCTCTACTTACTTTACTTTTAAAATTATCTATCTAGGATTTTGAGGAGACAGTTAGCCATTTTCATTTATGAGGACTTCCTTTAAGCACGTGTTAATGTCAAATTAACTGTGAGCTTTTTAATTTTGCTAGCAAATTATTGTTTTAGTGAGTTCTGCTTAGTTATATCAAAACAAAATGATGATTTGACCTATTATATATCAGGATTCACTAGGTAATATCTGTACTTGAATATTATAGTTCATAAAAGAAGTTCACTTCAGAAATCTGTGAGTGAGGCACTTTGTTAAGCAGTAGAGATAAAAGATGAATGGTGACCACTGAGAAACTTGTTAGGGGCTCTAAATGCTCACACTAAGCAGATTTTACTCTTAACTTACTCTTAACATTCTTCTTCCTTTTCTTTCTTTTTTTTGTTTAATAACACAATGTGAAAATGTTAGAAAAATAAGCATTAAAATAGGTCTTGGAAGTCAAATTGATAATCTACCTATTTTGGGGGAAATATTCGTAGTAGGTGATGGTTATTATTGTTACAGTATTTTAGTAACAAAAAGCAGACAGTTTACAACAAAAAGTAGTTTAAGGTCATCTTCTCAGGTGAACAAACTCTCAAAAGTACTGATGGATTTTCCATACCTTATTCCTCAAGGATCTGCTTTGCTTTTTTTAAGCCTTATTCTTCCGTTTATATCAC